ACAATTTTCTAAAGGATTCTTCGTGCTATTTTGTCCCTTCAGTGGATCATGGGCCTCCTGCCGTCTATTTTGGAATGTCTGCTTTCCATATACTGCAATTAGCACAGCATGATTGATTAATTTTCCAAGCCTAATTAATTCTATTGTCGTTGTTTAAACTAATTAGTTTCAGTGCATTAGTTGATTTTTATTCATGACAATGCTAAAACATGTTTTGTACATATTTTTCATTGGTTAAAAAAGATATAGTACTTGTGAATTTGAAATAATTTAATTTATTAATATTAATTAAACATATTATTATTATATGTTAAAAATGATGGTTTGGGAAATTGGTTTTCTAAACAAAATCTAATGCCCAAAATTAGAGGTTCATTCTAATAACAATTCTTTTCTTGTGATAAGTCTTTTAATCCTTTGTAACAAGAATATTGCAAAGGAGACTGATACAAACACTAATTAAAGTAATTTAAAAGATCAGGATGTCATTTGAAAAGATGTTGAAAATTATTTACAGAAGAATTTCATTTGTAAAGAGAATTTCTTATTTTTAAAATGAAATAACTTTATTTGGAAAAATTTGTTCATAATATTACTAATATTTATACATTCTTACACATCTAATGAGACTTATATTGCATTTTTTTAATTTCTTCATTCTTGATATTGTTATTCTTATTTTATAATTACTTTTTTTTTATTTCATCAAATTTCAATGCTTAAAATTATTCAAACAATATAACTACAAAATGTTATTATTTTAAATTATTGCATTTTAAAAATAAATTTATTTCATTTTCCTAAAATTTCCAAAATTTCTTATTCAAACGCACTTGAATTTTTTTTTTTTAAATCTATTGGTCACAATTTAATATTCTCAATAAAAGAAGGAAAATTAAAGCACAGGGACCCACTGAATGTTGGGGGAATAGGCTAATAACATAGCGACACGTAACACATAGCAAGGGCAGAGAATCAAAGGAGCGAGCCACTATCATGAGCAACGGCCTTAACCTGCGCACACTTTTGCAGCGTAAACCGTGTGTAGTAGTAGTAGATAGAGGAGGGGGAAAATAAAAGGCGTTAAGGCAAAGAAAGGAAGAAAGAACGAAAGAAAAGAAAAGCCCCCGAGAGAGAGAGAGAGAGAGAGAGAGAGAGAGAGAGAACGAGAGAGGGGACTGAGTCGGGTTGGCGAGTCAAGTGACCGAATCAAAGATCTAAAAATCTAAAATCCACCTTCCAACCCATCCAAACGAAAAAAACCACAGCGTGGGCTGGTGTGGCAATAGCAAAAAAATGGTGAACAAGGAGATAATAAGTCCTCTTCCTCTCCTTTACCTCTATCTTTCCTTTCCCATTCTCATCATCATTGTTACTACAACAACTATCTATCCTTCTCTAACCCTAAGACTTCTCTATCTCTTTAACTTTCGAGCCCCATTCTTTTCTGCTCAACAAAATTCCCATTATTATTTTTTTACATTCTCACCTAATCTATTTACCCTCCACCCTTCTCTTTCTCTTCCGTTTCGCTCTTTCCTCTTCTTGTCTCATTCCTTCTTTTTCTTTTTTCTCTTTCGAGGGTTACTCAGTTTCTTCTGTACGCCCGTATCGAGGAGGTAAAATAATCGATTACTCGTGGGTTTCTTGTTTTTTCTTTGGGTGCCTTGATCTACGGGTTTGACGGGGGTGAATTTGGTTATCGCTATCGCTGATGGATTTTGTTTGATGGATTGATTCATGTGATTTTGGGTGTGTTTTTATGTGGGGTTTGCTTTTGATTTGATGACAATTTGATTCATAGTTAATTGTGAGATAATATTATTCTCTAATCCTCTATATCAATCTATTTCTTGCAATTATTTGGTTTTTTTTTCCATCATCTTCTTGCAATTATTTGGTTTTAATCATTTGGCTTCTTTTATAATGTTGGGGATTGGGGGTAATTCCCTTGCTACTGCATTTTGAATTTTTTCAATTTCTTTTCGAGTTTATTAATCTGGATAATTTGATCTTTGTTTCTGAATGTTCCACGTTCCTTATTTTTTGGCTCCCTATGGTTTACATTGGTGAAATTCCTTATGATAGACTATGCTTCTACCGGTTTTCGACCTCTCTATTCTTTGTCCTTAATTTCACTTGATTATGTCTTTTATATTTTTTTTATGGATGTTATTGTAATGTTATATTGTCAATCTTAAACCCTTTTTCTCCAATTCCTTGTTTAATCTGATTTTATGTGTGACAGATTAAAGTTGCTTTTGTAGTGATTTGGGATCTATACAGCATAAATCTCATAGTTTGATTTTCGTTCTTTTAGGATTAGTGATCTTACTGGAGCATCCTTCTGGTGAAATAGGTGATAACAACTTTGTCAGCATGGAAGAGTTTTCTGGCACTCGGTTTGATGGCATGAACAATGCTGTCAGGAAGAAGAGGACCCAAACTTCTCGTCGTCCTCGTCCTGACTCGCAGTCTTTTGCTGAAAGTCAAGATCACTCACCCTTGTCATCAACACCTCCTTCAGATGATGTGAGCAAGGTCTCTAGTGATGAGAATGCTGGTGGTGATGCTAATTCAAAGCGGAAAGAGTTCAATCTTAATCAATGTGTTTGGATTTCTCCTGCTGTTGGTTTTGAAGGTGAGAAAACCAATAAAAGAAAGAAAGAAGATGGGGGATTCAATGCGTTTTACAACAATGAGCCTGGGCGAAGTGGGTCAAACAATAAACGTTCTAGTGAAGGTGTTCTTGCCCCTGCTAATTGGAAAAGCACAAGCAAGGCAAAGGAATGGTCAGTATCAGAATCGAGGAATGTGGATATATATGGTGGAAGGAATGGTGAATTTCAGAGTTCAGTGCAAGGAGCTGTTATTGATGGTAATGAAAGCAAGGTTAAAAAAGTTAAGCTCAAGGTTGGTGGCGTTACTCGCACAATTCATGCCAACTCAGCAGCTAATGGGATGCCAGGGAGTGGGTCTTCTACCGGGAAGAACAATCTTCAGGTAGTTACAGTGGTTTCTTTTAAGCTTTATTTGGCTAATTATGGCAATTTTGTATTAAAAAAGGCTTTTCTTTCGAAATTCAATGTTGGTGTTCCTCTCAGTTAAGTAGGTACATAGTGTTTACCTGATGAAGTTGCATGCCTTTTAAAATAGCCTGCTCTAGATTATCAGTTTTTTTTCTTTAGGGTGAATTGTCACAGATACCCTGAATTG